AAAAAAAAAAAAAAAAAAAAAAAAAAAAAAAGCGTTACTCATACTCATGCTCTATTATTTTTGGAAAAGTAAAACAAATAGCACAAATCATATATATTTGATTTTATGAAAAGTTGAAAAGAAAAAAAAAAGTTTAGATATATGCGCATCATCCCAAAATTATTTGGTTTTTTCCCCTACTTCATTTATTACAAAAAGAAAAAATTTGTAGGATGTATTGAATGGAAACTATCCATATAATTTGTAGATGTACTTTACTATCCAGTTTTGCTATTTTGTTTGACAATTTTAACCTTATGAAGAATTCCATTAAGGACAATAAGACAATGAATCACAAGTGTAAATCATCGGCAGAAAGCTAAGGGGGGGCAAAGCCAAGGAGAAGGAAGCTTCCCAATTGTACAATGTTAGAGGAAGGTTCATTAAGATGCATCCTAAAACATAGGTTTTGCCGATACAACGTTGCTTATACAATAATCTATATCTTCACGTGACAAATTCTTCTACTACCTCATACCCAATATCTTCGTCTCTCTTAGCCTGCCAAGGCAAATGAGTTTCGTAGTTAGTTGTTTTCTTGCTAGGTTTGCTCAACCTTTTTTCTTTCGATTTAGGAAAGAGCAGTTCTCCTAGAATAATTAATTACGCACATAAATGTGTACACCCGGCAAATGAAAAAACCTTATCAAGTTGTGGAATGCAGAGCTGAATTGCAACCTAAAGATGAAGATCATCCCGTTGGGCCTTGGGGACTGCGTTAAGCGAACCTATAATGTAGGAAATACTTTGTTTATGAATCATGGAGATAGTTAGAAAATTTTGCCTCTTAGATAATTTGGCTGTGATTTTGAGTAAATGGTTCTAATGTTAAGGGAGTTTGTTACTCTAACCTAAGTTAAATACTTTTTAAGTCACTACTTCATAGGATATAACTGTTTTGCTATTCCTAACCTATCACGAAATGTCACGAGTAATAATTTTTCCACATGGCAATATGTGATTAACTGGATATAGCAAAACAATGATATCTCCGTTTCACACAAAATATAGAAGAGATTCTTCGATTACGGAGGGTGCCGGACGAACCGATCAGGCGACATAACCAAAGATAAAACTTTTGTGAGGCTAGCCAGGCCGGGCATCAAACAAACTAGATGATGAGGCTGCGTGACCAAAGATTTATAGGAACGCAAAACACATACGATGACTAAACAAAATTCTTTTCTTTCAAGAACCACAAAAATCTAAAATTTTGGAATGAGAATAGCATATCCTCAGGCAAAGAAAACAGAAAACACATACGCACAAAATTCCCTTGTACAAAGCCACATACACGGCAAGTAGTGGTTGTGGCTCAAAATTCCCTTTATCCGTCACTATACAAATCCAAATTTTATTTCTCTTGAAATATGAAATTAAATTTTTGAGAACTTGGGAATCTGATTGACCACAAAAACAGTTGACAATATTCATTTATATGAGAACAACAAGACTATAGGGTCTGAGTCATCCAAAAGACAACGAAATTCTTATCCATCCATTTGCTTTGTTCCTTTTACTTCTTCTCTTTCAAATTCACAAATTACACGTTTACAAAAAGTACCAACAAGCCGATCAGTCCAAACCCACGACTGCGTCAATGGGGCCTAAATCTCAAGTGGCCCAAAAGATACCAAAACAACTTGGCAGGAGAAATTCGTATAAATAGGTAAGCTTTGACCATTCTCATTTATTGACTTTTTCTTTTACATTTAATATTTATATACTTTTTAATCCAACTTAAGAAATCGAATAAACGCTCTTATTCACTTGAGATTAAAGACGGGCACAATAATAAATCGAATCCTGGATAAATAAATGCTTTTAATCA